AGGGGTAATGGCCATAAACTGGAAACCAAAAGCTTCAAACTGAACATGAGGAAACACTTCTTCCCTGTGAGGGTGACAGAGCACTGAACAGGCTGCCCAGAGCGGTGGTGGGGTCTCCTTCCCTGGAGACTTTCAAACGCCGCCTGGACTTGTTCCTATGTGATCTGCTCTAGGTGATCCTGCTCTGGCAGGGGGATTGGCCTAGATGATCTCTAGAGGTCCCTTCCAACACTTACCACACTGTGACTCTGTGAAAGGAAGAAATCTGTTCTATTTTCTTATCCAAAATAAGACTCAGATACCTAACCATAGCTCTGTTTTCAGTAGAATCATACTTAGTTCTTACTCAGTTTAGGAGATACTGAACAAAGCAAAAAAGTATCCATTGCACAGAGTGACAGGCATTTAAGTCAATGATTATCTCAGTCACTGTAATTAACACTGTTTGTGTTAGATGCCTGTTAGATGTCCATTACTCCACTGGACACCTTGCATAATTTTAGCCATGACAAGACTGTGAACTAAACCATTCTGCATATAGTTCAAAGCCCTGCTTTGCTGACAGATACAAATGCTATTTCATTAAAGAAACATTCCTTTTCAATATTGGCTCTCAAAAGACTACTCTCATCTTCAAGGAGTTGAGATTTGAACTGAATCATCTTGATAATGGAGCACTAAATTAAGATTAATAAAGCAATCGACATGAATTAATCTTCATCTGACATGGAATTCTAAAAAAATAAAAATGTTTTGGGTAAGAAAAGATAATCACAGAAGAGAATTATACATAGCCTGAAAGAATGGTCATCTTGATCCTATATGGATTTTTAAATTAGATTTCTCACTGCCTACATGGTCAGACATACCTAAGCCAAGGAGAACATAGAGAAGCTTTTCTTTCCCTCATTAATCTTGGACTAAATAAAAACATATTACATACTTTCTAGAAGTATTCACCAAATACAGAACTAAAAAAATATATGGAAGAGCACAGCAGCTGCTAATGTAAACCCAATAAATGTCATTGTCCTGGGCTCAAGCTGCAATCTCAAGTAGCTTCACATTTTCCTCGAGTAAAGGTGATTCACTTGAACAATTTATTACCTTGAATACTCCTTTTGAAAAAAGCTTTGCAGCCCTCACACGACCAGACCCCATAATGGTAGCCTGAAGCGTAGTCGTTGCAGACAGCACAGTACCGTGTCTCCTTGGTGGACTCCATGGACATGGTCCCTTTCTCGTTGGTATTGGACATCCTCTCCCGGATGCTGTGGCGCCTGTTATCTGAGCTTGGCCTGTTAATAGCAAAAAAAAAGCATAATTCTTTCGGCGAGGTTAAGTCTCATCCACTCTTGCAGAGTGTAAGAGCAAATCTAATTTTGAAATGACAGATGGACAAAAAATACTCTTTTATCACCCTCTGTCCTGTTGTAGTTGCAAAGGTGTAGAACCCATAAGATATACGGAAATTTCTCACAAATCAATCTGATGTTATTAGGTACTGTACCATGAACAATAAAAAAGGTATTTGATAAATTAATCATTTTTTTTCTCAAGACATTACAAGAGAATACAGAAAAATAAGCTTTTTTTGTGTGTGTGTGTGTACCTGTTCCTGTCCAAAGAGTGTTCAGCATGACTGCATTATCAGTAGGTAGTTTGAGGATCTGAGGCAAAAATCATTTAAAGTTTGTACCTGAATTTGCAAGTCACTTAAATTATTAATGAGGTTGTTTTCAAGTATATTGCCCAATTAGAGATGCAAACTTTCCTTACATTGTCAATGATATAACCCTGCATAAAAAAGTCCCTATTCTCATTACAATACCATTCATAAGATTTAAGAAGTCATTTTAGCATAACAAGAAATGTCAGAAGGTATTAAAAAGTACTGCCAAAGAATTTCTGTTCTGTAATATACATGCTACTAGACGTGTACTAGACATAATAGACATACTAGACATGCACATGACCCCCATGTGCAGTATGCTGTTGAATGAAAACAGAGCAAATCATAGTGCAAATAGCAATGAATTCACATCTAGTGAATCTGGTAAGAGGTTATTATGGGTAGCTGCTGCAGGCATGGTAAACAATATTCAGAAAGATGAGACGATGTGAAATTACCAAGGGAACCACCAACATACTCTGGGATTGGTCCTGGATAGCATGCAGCTCTTGCGAAACATGCTTTCCAATAAAGTCTACACTACAAATTGTCCAGGAGACAAATACAATTGAGTGTGACAGCATCAGAGAGCTAAAGCATGAAGAATCCTACTGTTTACAGTAATTATTCACTGACCATGCATGTTTTAATTGCTGGTTAGTAAAAAAGTGGCTCTCATCTCCTCAGAGTCCCAGTATTTTCTTAGTCAAACATATCCTGGTTTTGGGCCTAGGAGACTGGGGACTCTATCTTTCACATTTCTTCCTACATACCTAATTTTGACTTATTCCCTTCTTCAGTGGAGAAAAACTTCCTTTATTTTCATGAACCTAGGCATCTGGCACCAACAACACCTCCCCGCTCCAAACCAATACTCCCCAGCAACTTTCTGATTACTCTATGAATGCCCAACAATACTCTTTCATTTGGTCAAAGTTCCCTGACATCTCCTGCTGCAGTCCATCTCAACACCCAGAAGCTTTCTACCAGCCAAAGTCACCTGGATGCCAGCCATCCGTGCCATCAGCCATCCCCTCGAGACTTTTCATATACAATTTCTGTCCCTGAATACAATATATTTTCATTGACTGGCTTTGGATTAATATCACTTATTAAAGTAGCACGAGGCTTTGCCATGTTAGATAGCAGAAACTGCTACTGGCATCATTCAGGAAAACTGTATTTTAAAACTCGAAGTTCTTTATCAAGCCTCATATACCAGCTAACTTTTAACACTTATTTAACTAATTTTTGTTTCCTTGGGACTTGTACAAGACAGAAGAAACTGCTAATGGTGAAGTGGTGACGTGGCACAACTTTGGCTTTTTAGTGACAAAGGAAAACTGCAGAATGTCATGATTCTGACAACATGAGTTTAACAAACTAGGTAGGGAAGGAAGATCCTTGAATATTTTAGATGTCAAACTGTGAAAAAGTGAAAACAAAATCAATAATAAATCATTATGGATAAAACACCTCAATTGTTCATGTAGCTACATTTTCCAGTCCACCAAACCTAGACAGATTTTTATTCTTCTCCAGGTCCTGAATCTTCCTTTGAATTTGTATTATCCCAGTGCTTCGTTGACTACTTTTTTTTCTTTTTTCTACTGTGCACTGATCAAAGCTTTTGTCTCTTATCTTCTCCACCCCATTCTCCTCTGTCTGCAGCTAGATTACCTAATCCATCCTTTCAGAGTAATTTTAAATTAACCACAATGTGGCTTTTTTAACAAATATACTTTTAGGTAGATGTAACTACAAGAATGTTTTAAGTATTTGAAGTAAAACAGCAAGCAGGCAAATAACTGTCAATATAATTTTAACAGCAATAGACTGTTAGGTATACATTTTTTCAATATTGTTATAAATATGCATGTAATGCAAGATAAGGTGCCCAAAATATTTTTCATATCAGTAAGTAGAAATAAATTACAATTTTATAAAGTCTAACTTCTACATTATCTTTCAAAAAAACCCCCCAAAACTTTAAAAAAAAGTAAAAGGAAAAAAAATTCAAGTTCCAAAACAATTACAGATTTTTGCAGGTGTGTAGTAATTTTCCAACACCCCTCCACACACACACTTACTAAAGTAACCTTAGTTTCCTAGTTGGCTACAAAAGAAAACATTGCAACCGGAAAAAAACAAAATAGAGGAAAGAAATACCAAAAAGTATCAGTCATCATACAGTGCAGATACTTTGGATTTTCATCTTTTCAGAATATTTATCTTCATCAGATCAAGACTAGGTTCACAAATACAGTTTTATTAAAATTATATTTAAGAATAATTTTTTAAAAATAGACTGGAAAAATAGCTTGAAAGACACGTAAGAAAAAAAGCTTTTTCTATCTTTTCATATTTTTGCCCCGCTGCTTGTGGGCAGTCTGTCCCACAGGTCCTGTCCATCCTCATTCACACGACGAGTCCGCTTTCTCAGCGGGAGGCTGCAGGCAGAAGCAGTGAGTCAGGGTGGTCCCTGTAAGCTCACACAGGATCCATGGTACGAGGGATCGTACACACACCAGGGAGCAAAGCCACTGCTCACATCTGCCCATGCATTTTGCATTTCACTTAGGCCTTCATTGCCTTCCCGCACACAAACTTGTTACGTTGAAAGAGCACTACCAATCTGTTAATGCAGACCTTCTCAAAACAAAATGAATCTAAAGATGGCCTTGGGGCTTCCCACTCCCAAAATCAGTGCCACTTGAGCATCGCAAACTGGCCTTGCAGAGTCATCACATTCAGGCTCTTGTGAACTGCAGTGGGAAGCACACTAAAATACCCCTAGCCCCATCCTCCCCAGAAATGACATCCTGACACCTCTTCCCATTTATACAATGGAAATGAAAGCTGGTAATAAATAGACTCCAGTACTTACTACAGGAGGTGAGGAGGAAATATTTTTGGATAAAGAGCATCCCAATAACACAGAGCTTGATATATCAAAACATCTCAAATTTCATCCAGACATTAGCTGCTAGTTAGCGCACATCACAGACCGCTGATGCTGTGTCCTGACAGAAAAATAACAGTCTGCTCTTCATCCAGTTTCCAGTTAGGTTTCAAGGGTTAGCCTTCTGGAGAACATAGTGCAATAACCTAACCCAACTTAAATAACTTTGGCAAGATCATCATTCCAAAAATACAATAGCTGAACCTTTTCAACAATTTCCTTTGTAATCTATGCGAACAATAACAAAATAAACAAAACAAAAGACCAGAAGTTCTTGTCAACTATGTTTACCAAAGAGAAACACAAATCAAAAAGAAAGAAAACCCCAGATAAAGCCCTCTGTCCAAGGCCCTCACCAAAACAGAACAGATTAGAAAGCAAAAAAAACCTCAAAATTTACTGCTTGTTTCCAAATGTAATAACACAGCAGACATAAAATGAAAAGTGTTTTGGAACCTACAGAGCAGGATCAACTTGTCTTCCACACTCACTTTCATATTTTTCACCTATGTCACACTGAGTCTGCTCTTCCACAAATGTATTAGCAAACAAGGTGCTTCTGTTTTAAACATTCTCTCATCCTCCAAATCAGCAAAGAGGTCATTAACCCCATGTTGACTGTAAGGTAAAAAGAATGTGCAGTGAGGGATTTACAGTTTTGTAATGTAAACTCAGTGTTTTACATCACAGTGATCTAACTGTCGGGCAGGATGAACTTAGAATAACCCACAGTACACAACCCACCCAACAGCAAGCTAAGGTCCTATTTATTCACAGTCCCAGCTTTATCTGAAATAGATCTCATAGGCAGAAAGGCTTAAAGGAAAAGTTATTTAAACACCTAAAGGCAACACCTTGAGAAATTCTAGTTTTCTGAATTTAATACAAGAAAATTTAATCTGTAACTGATAAATCTTTCATGCCAGAATGGATGGCAGTTCCCAGTGTAAAAAGCCTCAAAACTATTCACCATTTCAAATGCAGTCAAGGTCTAGCACACATGCTTTTCCACACATTGGACTTATTATAACACCATTCTACTATTCAATATGAAATTAATTTGCTGTTAAAATGTGAATTTCCACATGGGGCAAAATATTTATGAAAGATTACTTGAACAGAATTAAGTGCTTGAAAATACTTTAAAGACATCTCAAGGAGAAGTACTGGAATAGGAATGACTAAGTATACAAAAATTGCCAAGTACATTAAATGCCTAAAAACTGTACTCTCAGAAAGCAACTCCAATGAATATGAAAAACAATCATATCCATCCAAATGAAAATGTTGGCTTAAAACAAATATCCCGAAGTCGCTAAGGTTGTAATTAAAATAAATACAACTTTACAATAGAGAGAGAAACTCTTACACTGAGTTGTACATCAAGCAGACAGGTCACAAGCTATTTCAGGCTAGATGGGACCTCGGGAGGTGGCCCCACACCAAGCCAGTACTGGCACAAGTTGGGCTACAGCAGTGATGGTGGGTTCTAACGATGGGGCCAAGAACCAGCATCCCTCCTCAGCTGATCCTCCATGGGTGATAAGGATCAGCTGGGGCTCACCCCAGGGCCTAATTGCAAGTGATTGCCCATCCATGGCTCTGAGCACATTTCACTCACACAGCTGAACTCTCCTCCCCATAACAGGATGGTTTTGTCTATG